CCTCTCTCCCTCTCCCCCTCTCTCCCTCTCTCCCTCTCTCCCTCTCCCTCTCCCTCTCCCTGCCATGTGAGGATACAGCAAGAAGGCAGCCAGGGGGAGGCCCCTCACCAGAGTTTGACCATGCTGGCACCCTGATCTTGCACTGCCTAGCTTCTGAAATAGCAAGAAATAAATGTCTGTTGTTTAAGCGCCAGTGCTGTGGTTGTTACAATAGCCCATGTAGACTGCAACAATGTAATTTTTAATTTCCATTATGAATTTTTCTTTGATTTGTAGGTCATTTAGGAGAATATTTTTAAATTTTCAAACATGTATATTTTCTTATTTTATTCTTCTTCAGCATGATTGCATTGCCCAAATTTCTTGCTCTTTATGATTTTAATCCTTTGAAACTTGCTGATGTGCCATATGCCCAGAATATGGATTGTGAGTTTTCTCAAATGTTCCTGTGTACTTGAAAAGAATTAGGTTCAGTGTTATATATCATCAGCTAACTTGATAAGCATATTACTCACATCTTCTTACTCCTATATTTTTGTCTGGTTATTATATATTACTAAGATAATTACACAGTTTCATTATGATTATGGATTTGTCTTATTACTCTCTGTAGTTTTGTCAATTTTTATTTATATAATTTGAGACCATGTTTTTAGGGGCATGCAAATTTAAAATTGTTTTATCTTCTAAATGAATTGAGACTTTAATTATTATTAGTGGTTTTCTTTATTTCTAGTAATAAATCTTTGCCTTTGTGGTATAATATGTCTGATGCTAATATAGCCATTCCAGAGTCCTTTAGGCTCATATTTGCATGATATCTTTGTTATTTTTTTATCATTTTACTTTTAACCTTATTATATTCTTATACTTTAGATATGTCACTTGCAAAGATTATGCAATTTTATTTTTTTCATCTAGTCTGATATCTTTTGTCTTCTAATTGGAACATTCAACTCATTTATATTGAATGTAAATACTCATCTATTTGAGTTTAAATTCACAATCTTATTATATACAGGGGTGGGCAAAAGTAGGTTTACAGTTGTGAGTACATGGAAGTTTATTCTTGTATTACAATTGCAATTATACTTTTGCCCACCCCTGCATTTCTCTTGTCCTATATTTTCTATGTTTTTTTCCTTGTGTTATTTGAAACTAGTATGATTTTTAAACATAATTCTGCTTTTCCACTCTCTCCAGTAAATTGGAGATTATATCCTATTTTTCTTTTGTGTGTATATGGTTACCATGTAAATTAGATAATGTGTTATTAACTTCTCCAGGTAACGCTGTTATACCTTCCTCTGAGCCATGCAGAAATCATAGTTTCTTAAAATACTTGAACTCCGTTCACCCTCTTCAGATTTATATATGCTTGTTGTTGTGTATTTTAATTCTGTGTACCCTTTTTATTTTTTAGTTTAAAACATCAGATGAAGGCCCAATGGGGTATACATTTGGGAAGATGCTCCAAATGTGGCTTGGAAAGTTCCTCTTGAGGGAGGTTAGTCCTCAGCTCCCTGCTACTTCTGGGGTAAAAGGTCCAGAAATCGATGCAGGCTGGGTTACTGGGATACCCAAGCAAAAACAGGACAGATCCTTGCAGCCTAGACTGGGGCCTGGCCTGGTTCTTGGGCTCACTCTCTGCTTTACCCTTTTTAAACTCAAGTAGCTGATATTAATATTAACAGTGTTATTATTTTACACTGGTGGCCCAGTGCACGAAATTCATGCACATTAAAAGGGGATTAATTAGAGGAAATATTTTAATATTGCTATTTGCCCTTTCTCTATAATAGTGTCAGAGATGAAAGAAAATTAGTAAAATGTATATGAAAATCTTCCTCCTGTCAGAGTCTGGGGTGCGCCACGGGACCCAGAGTCAAGTCCCTGCCCACCGTGGTGCCTCAAAATCGTGCAAGACCCAGACCCAGCTGGCCCCACCCCCATTGGGTGAGATCCAGACCCAGCTGGCTCCACCCTTGTGAAGCCCCGCTGGGCAGGGGGGCACAGCCTCAGGTCCCCTGGCCTGGCTCCAGGCGGGGGTTGCAGCCTCAGGTCTCCCGTCAAGCCCCGCTGGGCTGTGGGTGGGCCGGCCCCACTGCAGCTTCAGGTCCCCCGGCCTGGCACCAGGCAGGGGGGTGCAGCCTCAGGTCCCCAGGCGCATGCCGGGCGGGAGACACAGCCTCAGGTTCCCCAGCGCACCCTCAGGTCCCTCGGCCCGGCGCCAGGGTGGGGGGAGTGGCCTGAGGTCCCCTGTCAAGCCCCGCTGGGCGGGGCGGGGTGCAGTCTGAGATCCTCCGTCAAGCCCTGCTGGGTGGGGTGCACAGCCTGAGGTCCCCTGTCAAGCCCCGCTGGGTGGGGGTGTAGCCTCAGGTCCCCTGGTCCGGCGCCAGGTGGGGGGCGCAGCCTCAGTTCCCCCATCAATCCCTGCTGGGTGGGGAACGCAGCCTCAGGGCCCCTGCTAAGCCCCACTAGGTGAGGGGGTGCAGCCTCAGGTCCCCCAGCACACCCTCAGGTCCCTCGCCCGCCGTCAGGGTGGGCGGCGTGGCCTGAGGTCCCCTGTCAAGCCCTGCTGGGTGGGGGGCGCAGCCTGAGGTTCCCCCATCAAGCCACACTGGGCAGGGGGTGCAGCCTTAGGTCCCCCGGCCCAGCGCCAGGAGGGGGGCGCAGCCTTAGGTCCCCGTCAAGCCCTGCCGGGTGGGGGGCACAGCCTCAGGGCCCCCATCAAGCCCCACCTGGTGGGGGGGCACGGCCTGAGGTCCCCTGTCAAGCCCCACTGGGTGGGGGGCGCAGCCTCAGGTCCCTGCTGATTGCTCGTTAAGCCTCTGTTGTGGGTGCAGCCATCTTGTGTTATGGAACCCTGCCTCCACTGTGGGTGTCGCCATCTTTGTGATGATGTGATGGTCAATTTGCATATTCCCTCTTAATTTGATAAGATGCTGTCAGTGGTCATTTAGATTTATTCATATTTTTATTTGTTTTTTTGATTTCCATAGTTCTCTCTGACATTTCTTACCTTCATTCTGGGGTCCTTTCCTTTCTGCCTGAATAACCTTCTTTAGGCATTCCTTTATTGCAAGTCAGCTGCTGATAGACATTTCCTATTTTCTTTTCTAAAAATATTTTGATTTTATTTTTATTCTTTTAAAATTTCTTTCAGTTCACTTAATTTACATGCCATATATTCACCCTTTAAAGTTTATGATTCAGTGTTTTTTGGTATATTTACAAGGTTTTGAAACCATCACTACCTAAGTCTAGAATATTTTCATCACCTTAAAAATAACCTCATACCTGTGAACAGTAACTCCCTATTCTTCCCTTTCTCCAGTGCCTGGCAAGCATTAATCTTTCTATCTCTAGGAATCTGCCTATAATGGACATTTCGTATGAATGGAATCATAAATATGTGGCCTTTTGTGTCTGGCTTCTTTCCTTAGTAGTATAATATTTTCAAGATTCATTGATGTTGTAGCATGTGTCAGCACTTCATTCCTTTTTATGGCTGAATGATATTCCACTGTATGGGTACATCACATTTTCTTTATCCATTTATCAGTAGGAAGACATTTGGGCTGTTTCCACTTGTTTTTGGCTATCTACACTAATAAAAGAGAAACATGGTAATTAGCGTACGACCGCTACCCTTTTCATTGGCTAATCAGGGCGATATGCAAATTAACTGCCAACTAAGATGGCGGTTAACTGCCAACAAAGATGGCGGTTAATTTGCATATGTAGGCACAATCCAGGGAGGCGAAAGGGAAAGCAGGAAGAAGCCCCCTGCCACTGACAGTGATGGGAAACCCAGGGGGGAGCTAAGAGCCGGGGGGCAGGCCATGATCAGAGAATCCGGCGACTTTGCTGCCCTGGGAAGTAGGGGTGGAGCCAGCGATGGGAGCTGGGCACGGGCGAAGCTGGCAGTCCTGGGAGCTTCCCAGCCCCAAACCCAGCTTCTGCAATCCCTGACCACAGAAGCTGGGTGCGGGTCAGGGAAGCATCCGCCGCCAGCGTCCCTGGCGGCGGCTTCCCAGCCCCGCACCCAGGGGCAGAGCGGGAGATCGCGGGGAGCTGGGGGTCCCCTGCCCAGGCCTAGTGCCTTGGCCAGAGGCGTTAGGC